GGCTCACTGCAACCTCCGCCTCCTGGGTTCAGGCAATTCTCCTGCCTCAGCCTCCTGAGTAGCTGGGATTACAGGCACGCGCCACCATGCCCAGCTAATATTTTGTAGTTTTAGTAGAGACGGGGTTTCACCATGTTGACCAGGATGGTCTCGATCTCTTGACCTCGTGATCCACCCGTCTTGGCCTCCCAAAGTGCTGGGATTACAGGCGTAAGCCACCACGCCCGGCGGAAATAATACACTCTTATGGCACTACCACTGCATATGCAATCTCGCACTGATAGAAACATTATGTGATGCACAAGCAATAGGAAAATAATGAAGAGGACATGGATCAGCTGGTAAGCCAGAGAGTCCTTACTTTTAAGACTGACTCATCTCAAGCAGGAAGGTGAAAATAAGTGATCCAGAAAACCTATACCTCCTGACATTATGAAATCATACATTAACACCACTATCACCCTACCTAATAATCTCCTTAATCATTTAGAAACAGGTACTTTTTGTTTTGGAGGAAAGGGAAGATGTTTGAAAACATCCTTGATGTTCATCACCACAAACTAGAAAAACAAAATGATTCTCACTAAATAGCTGTTCAGTAGAATGACAAAACACTTAACATACCTATCATAATAATCCCGTTGAAAGTCATAGTCCAAGTCAAAAGAGGAGCTGAAAAATAAATACCAAAGAGGGTTAATTTGGAAATGTTGCTACTAATTCGTAACAGTAGGTGAGGGGAGAACCATGCCAAATAAACCACAACAAATAGATCAACAAGGTTAGCACTGCATGATCCCCAATATTCATAAAATAAATCACTCAATTCCAATCACCTTTGACCACTAGACATGTAGTGGTCAAACTGGTAATTCAGGTTAAAATTCACTAAGATTTCCACATACAACATAGCTAAAATAAGAACACTGAAAAACAGAATGGTTAACTAAATATCCTTATACCACTCCCTTCTTCCCTTTCTTCTCTCTAGTGTTGAGATCAACAATTCCATAGAAGTATTTTAGGTTATGCTATAAATATCAAACTATTCTTAAATATTAATAGCAAAAACTTCAGGGATTTTTAATTCTCTAGAAATTTTTCCTAGGGCAAAAAAAGAGACTATTAATGCAAAAATAATAAAACCTTATTTATACACAAATAAAACACAGTACACTTAACCCTCCCAACCTCCAGAAAACAGATAGAGAAGATGCCCACTGATGGACACAATGCAGTTATAAATAATAAAGTTCCGGACCTGAGTAGAGGGGACGGAGAAGGGTGTTCTGTTACTGACCCGTACATCTCCGCTGCAGATCGTTTCACACCTGCTTTTCCTCGGTTCACTTTTGGCTCTGCAGCCAGGTTAATATCTGAAAAACAAAAGGAAAAATTTTAATGACAACTTTGTATCCAGGTAAAGCAAACAACAAAGCTTATTTTTTAATTTTTTATTATTGAGACGGAGTCTCACTTTGTCGCCTAGGCTGCAGTGCAGCGGCGCAATCTCGGAGCACTGCAACCTCCATCTACCGGTTTAAGTTGATTTTCCTGCCTCAGCCTACCAAGTAAGGGGACTACAGGCAGGCACCAACAAGCCCGGGATAGGGCTAATACAAACTACAACGTTTAGAATTGTACACAGACACATAAATGAGAAAATATGGAACAATGTACCTCATCTTTCCTTTTTTTGTTTTTGAGACAGGGTCTCATGTCACACAAGCTGGAGAGCAGAGATGCAGTAATGGCTCACTACAATCTAGTCCTCAGAAGCTTGGGTAATCCTTCCACCTCAGATCTGCAAATAGCAGGGACCACCATGCCTGGCTAATTTTTCTATTTTTCATAGACAAAACTCTTGGGGGTTGAGTGATCTGCACTGGCCTCCCAATGTGCTGGAATTACACGTATGAGCTACCATACTATGCTCAGCTTCGTGTCTCCTTTTAACATTAAAAAGGCTCACAAATTGTTACAAGTCTAGGACTTCATCTTCCTATTCTTTGTACTCTGTTCTGTACCATTAAAGTGTCCTGAGACATAACATTAAGTCTGTCTTTGGTACTCTCCACCCTCATATCCCACTTTAACTCTCGCCATTCAAGGCACTGACTGCACACTCAGTTACTGCTACAGGAGAAAACTATCAATGATTTCCTTTCCAGAAATGGTTCCATTCATTCTAAATTACAGATATATTAAAATGAAATTTATTAGAATAAAATATATGGCAATTCATGAATTAATATATAGTTGAAGTGTGACACCCTCAAATCATACTCAGAGGCAAATTTGGGTTTTCCTTGTAGGTAAGGATTGGCTATACTGTACATAAAATATCCTGGGTTAAAAATTACTTTGTGAATAATTCATGAATTGCTTAAGTAAACAACCTTTACACACATACACACACAAAATAATGAAAGGAACAAAGGGAAACAATCCTAGTTTTCAAATATAATTTGTAACACCTATTCCCAGCTACCTACCCTGCCACCACTGCCTACACCAAACAAGAATTTATCTTTTCTTTGTTCTAAAAAGCCGTGTCAGGGTCAGGCGTGGCTGCTCCCGCCTGTAATTCCAACACTCTGGGAGGCTTAGGTGAGTGCATCATCTGAGGTCAGGACTTTAAAGACCAGTCATGGTCAACATGGTGAAACCCTGTCTCTACCAAAATCACAAAAAGTTATTCAGGCATGGTCATGGGTGCCTGTAATCCCAGCTACTCAGGAGGCTGAGGCAAAAGAATTGCTTGAGCCTGAGAGGCGGAGATTGCAATGAGCTAAGATCACACCATTGCACTCCAGCCTGGGCAACAGTGAAGCTCTGTCTCAATAATAATAATAATAATGAAGCATAGCCAAGGATTCCAGAAACTCTGTTTGATACAACATCTTCTACAATTCTA